TTTCTAATGACGTAGCACAGTTTCACCACTGAGAAACATCAGCGTCTCAGAGAGCAAGGTAGAAATGAGACACTTGCCTCCGTGTCTGCTCTTTGAGGACCAGGAGGCCTTATCCTGACTGCCAAGCAAAATCTGACACCAACTCAATAAACTTCTCCTCAGCTAGTGTTAGTTCCTAATTATCAAGGCAGTAGTAATTTCTTGATTATAGGTGCACTTACGTTTCCTGGCCGTTAAAGCCATAGGCCGTTAGGGATGGTGAAGTCCCACTCATGAAGGCTAAGCCTTGTGTGCTTAAGAACCTCTTTCATGCTTCAGTTTGCGTAGTTTAGCAACAGGAGACTTGGATAACTCAAGCCAGTCTCAGACACATTATCTAACAGACACTGGCCTTGAACTCCTGATCCTCCTGCATCTATCTCCCAAGTGCTGGGAATATAGGCACGTGCAACCACCCCTGTCTGTAGGAGTCTTTTTAAAAACTAAATTAAAATGTCCATGCAGTCAGTACAATAACCTGCCCCGAAGGTACCTTGCCCTAATCCCTAGACACTGTGAATACCTCAGACGACGAGGGCTCCAGAAGAAAGACTCTGAAGTCCAGTTAGTTATATATCAAAGGACACTGAAGAAAAACTATGCAAAAATGAGGAGTGACACACCCAGCTTCCGGTTCCACGTTGCATGGTGCTAAAACACTCAAGCCTGCAGTCCCCAAAGGGGATGGAAGCAAATGTAAGAGAAATAAAGACTCAGAATAAGCCAAGTTTACCCCATATTGAAAGTAGAGGGAGGTAGTTAGATGATTCAGCAGGTAAGAAAGCTTGCTGCTCTTGGGCAGGATCTGGGTTTAGTTCCAGCATCCACAGCTTGCTTCCCTCCGTAACTCCAGTTCCAGAGGATCCAGTGCCTTCTGACATACACACACATCCATGCAGACAAAACACTCGCACACATAAGATAAAGATAAGTAAGCCTAAACATGTTTCTAAAAAGTATAAAGAGAATGCTTTTTGTAGATGACATGACAATGAAAGACAATTACCTCAAAATTTCCCTTAAAGAGAAAAATATATTTTCTGTTATAATCATTTTAGAGAGACCTCTCTTTTCCAAATGGACACTTCATATTATTCAAAGAAGAACACTCTTCCAAAATTTGTTAGAACCTTGATCTGCCCCAAAGTGTAAAGTTTATCCCAACATTAGAAGAGAAGAGCTGGTCTATTAAATCTTAGTATTCAGCTAAGAGGTTTGAACCTCTTCCACTGTGGCCCTGTGAGACAGCTCCCCAGAGCTGAATGACCAGGAGAAGGACCTGGAGAAGCTTTTCTGATGTACCTGGAAACATGGATCAAGCTCAAGATTCCAAACAGATTAAGGACATTGTTTTCAACTCATTCAACAATCCTGTTTTGAATATCTACTTGTGGTTGGTGTGGGGCTGTCCAGACTTGCTGCACTACTGAGAGCTGAGGAAGGAAAAGAGCCTAGCATGCTAGCCCGAGGCACCAGGCTCTAGCCAGAGTAATGAGTTTGTCCAACCTGAAGCCTAGTATGCTATCACAATCTTATTTAAAATAGCATGAGGGTTTTCTTGTAAACTTTTTCCTTCCTTCCTTCCTTCCTTCTTTCCTTTCTTCCTTCTTTCCTTCTTTTTTTAGCTTGACTGGAAAACTCTCACACATAAGCTTTGCTGAAGATAATCCTGTTTTGCAATATCAGAAGTATCTTGCTCTGTTAGCTTCTGGTTTGGGTCTCATGATACAGTGTGCACAGTCACTTGAAGCACAACTTGCATACGAAGTTTCTGTAATTAATCACGAAGCCCAAAGTTCAATGTGAGGATTTGAGGGGGAAAAAAGTCACTGCCATGCACACAGGTGATGATCATCATTTTGGACATTGGCTAATAGATTTTCAAAGCATGGTGTTAGAAGCCAGACTCTTTCTAAATGGCCCAGCTCCCTGGATTATGAGGCTTCCCTCCACCCTCCACTCAGTGAGTGTGCTTGTACCCTTAGTCAGTTCAGCACATCTTAAACGATTCATTCTCCTCGGATGCTCCTGGGATCAGTTTTTACCTCCAAGCATTTCTGGAGGGAACTCATGGTTTCCATTCCATAAGCTCTGAGCCTTAAAACCACCCATCACGAGGGGAAGGATGAGAGGAGTAAGGAGGAACATCCGTGAAGTCAACAGAAGACTGGTTGTTTCTTCCTGCTGAGCCTCTAAAAGTGGTGTAGTGGAGTTTCTGATAGTGCGGAAGCAATGAGGCTCCGGCACTGAGGGAGAACAGAAGGAGGCGGTGAACCCACACAGTTAGAGCTTGGGTGGGTAGGGCGTATGATCACAGGAAGAACAGAGGTCTTAGGAACCCACCTTCCGCTGTCCCTCTGCTGGGACAGTGTCTGTTAGTGCCTAAGCTGGAGCCATGTCAGGGACCTGAGACGTGAAATATCTGAAATATCATAACTCTGCCATGAAGTCAACTTTCGGTGCCAATCAACATGTCTCTTCATGTAGACCTCGAGAAGGGAGCCAGACCTCAAAAGCAGGTTTCCATTTGAGAGTTCACTCATGATTTGCTCATAACGTATTTTAATTTAGACAACATCACTGTCAAAGCTAATTCAGGTGAATCACCTATCAATATTTCAGTCTCCTGGTTCAGTAGGAGTTAACAGACTTTCCTAATGCCTGAGCCTTGGCTGTTATTAGAGACAGCCATGAGATTTATACAACACATGATATTTTCTCACCAATATAGTTATGAATTTTTTTCTTGGAAATGACTTAAGTAGTTGTTTCTAAACCAATCCGAACTCAACTTCGTACCAGAGGTTATTTGAAAAGAGCAGATCCTACATCCTAAATTAATCAAATGTCAATTGTGCAGCTTGAAAAATGTTCAAATTTTTGATTTTTTTCAAAAAGTGTATTATCTGTTTCCTTCCCATTTACAACTCATTTGGTTTCTGAATTTGGCACTTGGCTAAATGTCTGTGGTGCTCTGGATTCAGGGTGAAAGCCATGTGTTTCTAAAGTGAACAATGGCCATGCCTGCTTGTCGATTTGTGTGTGGCCCTTCCTTTCGCCTGCTAATGACCATTCCTTCATCCCTGAAAAGCAGCAGCTCAGTCTGAACCGTGCTGCTCTCCTCTCCGGGCTGTGTTTCTGACTCTTTGATTAACAGCGACAGAGGACTGCTTTCAACCAAAGCTTCCTACAGTGACCACAGCCGCCTGGGAAGCAGGCAGGCGGCACTTAGCCTGTCCCATAGTTTTAGAGAGAAGTATTGGGGAGTACAATTAATCACAGACAAAATCCCACCTGTGGGCTTCCTCTTGCAATCTGTCAGAGTGGTTAAAGTGTGCAGACACCCTGCATCCAGATCTGAGTTATACATCTCAGCTTCTGAGTCCTCTGAGAGCCAAGGGATATTTGTCTCCCGATGATGTGAGGAGTGGAACACCAGCACAGAGTCCGCATTAAAACCATCATCACAGAACAGAGGCGCATTCATAAATCATAGTCATTAGCATCTGACTCTAATGATTAAAGTTAAAGTCAGGCATATGGCGATGTGCGAAAAGTTAACACTTGAATGAATGAGTCAGTAGTTACCGGACATTTCCAGCCAGTGTTTTATTTATGCAACTCTCAAAGTCTTAATATTTCAACTTTGGATGCTATGTAGCCAAGCACATTTATTTCTGAGCCATGAAACAAATCAAACAACGTTGATTAAAAATGAACTTTTATGCCTAAAATTTTATGCTCTCAGATTGATGGACCATACATTGCACCCAGATCTGTTCTGGGCTGGTGACCGAGGCTGTGGAATGGGACTGACTGTAGACCATTGCTGACTGTGACCCTGCAAAGACCAATTTCCCCCCATTCAACACTTCAGAAGCTAGTTACTCACCATATTTGTCAAAGCAGATGCAATGCTAAAAACGTAAATAGGGGATGAGCAATTGTAGATTTCAGTTTCCGGCGCAGGATGTCACTGCCGTGGATAATGCACCAGGCTTCAGAGAAGAAGGTTCACTCACTTCCTAGAGTGTGGCATTTAGTCTCTGACCTACGTCATTTCAGATGCTTTCCTTCCAGGACGGGCCCTCCTAGACTACCCGTGGGATGCAGCAAATGCTAAGACCGTATTGAATTTCCACAAGCTGGATTAGCAGCAAATGAAGATAAAATGCCTTTCTATTTCCGAACATGACGACGTTTTAATTGCTCTAGTATTTGGCATGTCTAATGTATACATCCTTGACGTCCATGCAATAACAAAGGAGGGCTGTTTGAGATTTTTCTTTTATTTCCGTTCCTTTCTCATGTTTCTCCCACCCCCACTCTGGTCCTTCTTGCTCTCCTCATCTCTTCATCCTTCTATTCTCTGTGTTAGGATGCATGTAAAATACCTCCTCTCTGTATAGATGTCCAAGACTGCTGCTACTTCGCTGTGATGAGCAGACCACCATCGCTGCGACAGCTGATGTCAATGCCTCCGGGTGAAGCAAAGGTTTATACATTACACAAGCAATTTAACTGCTTTCTAAACATATTGCCATGACAATGGGAGCTGGCAGCCAGCACTGTGTTTTAGGTTTTGGTGAGCTGGATTAGAAGTAACTGTTGATTGTGAAGTGTTTTTATTTGTCTCCTATGCACTGCAAGCAACCTCGTAACCCAGTGAAGAATTCTGCTTTGCCCAGCTTCCCAAGATTACCTGCACAAATCTCTCGACTAACATGGCCTAAGAGTACCGAGATAACTGCACAGACAATTGTCTTGTTCTTAACCTTTAAAGAGAGCCGCATAGAGAACTGTTTTATAATCGTTTTCTGTGCAGTAGGCAAAGGAGAAAAGGAAAAAGGTTGGGCAAAGATTACCCAGAAGAAAGAGACTTTTTTCGGGGGTCCCAGTTGAAACACAATAAAGAACATAATTAACTTCACAATTTCTTTGTGTTTTTCATTTGACTGCAGGGAGGAGATGAAAGGGGCCTGCTAAGCCTTGCATTCCATCCCAATTACAAGAAAAATGGGAAGCTGTATGTGTCTTATACCACCAACCAAGAACGGTGGGCTATCGGGCCTCATGACCACATCCTTAGGGTTGTGGAATATACAGTGTCCAGGTATCCCTAACTAATTTGATTGGAAGCCTGCAAACTCTGCCGTATTGCTTTCTCTTCTTCATCTCTTCGCTAACTATTTAGAAATGATTGCCATGAATTGGTAGTAATTAAAGCAGAATCTTCTCACGGCATAAAACATGTGCATGTATATGTTTGTATGTGCATACGTGTGTGTGTGTGTGTGTGTATGTGTATGTGTGTGTATAAGGAAAATTAAGTAAAATAATATCTTTGGTACTTTTTCTTAATTATCTTCAATTTAGCAATGTTTCCAAAATGTAGAAATTATTGTAATTCTTCAGTAATTCAATAATTCAGTAAAATTTCAGTAATTTTTCAGAGTAATTGATTAGCTCTGTTCCAAATGTATCTGTACACTGTTCCTTCTCCGGTGAATTCACATTATACCTGAAGACTCATGGCGCTTTCCCTTCCCTCACGCAGGAAGAATCCCCATCAAGTTGATGTGAGGACAGCCAGGGTGTTTCTGGAAGTAGCCGAGCTCCACCGAAAGCATCTCGGAGGACAGCTGCTCTTTGGTCCTGATGGTTTTCTGTACGTCATCCTTGGGGACGGTATGATCACGCTGGATGACATGGAAGAGATGGATGGGTTAAGGTAACAGTCTGATTACCAACAAGTACTCTTTGGCATCAACATCATTCCAATGCCGGGACGTAGGCTCCGAGCCAGCAACTAGAAGCTATCGCTGATGTTGAACACGTGGTTATTTTATGCTGAAGCGTCGCTTTGCTTTGTCCTAAAATTATTGCTGCAGAGGCTGCCCTGCGTCTTCCTCTGGGCCCAGCAGCTGGGTAGTAGATGTGCCCCTACACTAATGTCTTGAGGACGTAAAAGACATCGCCTGGCAAAGACGATAAAGGCCAGATTTTAAAAAAAAGCAAGGCACATACTATGCCACATCCTTGGCCACCTCCATCTGTGCCAAAACTGCCCCTGGTCTCACTCCTTGCCATATGGAATTTGGAACTCAAGCAATTCTGAGTTCAAAGAGGGGGTGGTTTCTTTCTCCCTAGAGTCACGTCACCCCAGGTATGCAGAGGAAACAAACAACCCGAACACGAAGTACTCACTCCCTCAATTTCTCAGTGATTTCACAGGCTCCGTGCTGAGGCTGGATGTGGACACCGACGTGTGCAGTGTGCCTTACTCCATACCACGGAGCAACCCCCACTTCAACAGCACCAACCAGCCCCCAGAAGTGTTTGCCCATGGGCTCCATGATCCAGGCAGGTGAGGACATCCGCCTATTCTGTCCCTACTTAAAAAAAAAAAGAAAGAAAGAAAGCTTGAGCAAAGGAAGACACAAGCTCTTAGAAAAAAACGGAGGGGAACCACTGAACCACTGTTAGAAGCCCTTTGGCATTTTTCCTTTAAATACCTCTAAGTTCTATTTTCCTGTTGCCTTAGTCTGTTTTGTGCCGCTTCAACAGGATGCCACATACGGGGTAATTCACAAACAGTAGATGGTTTTGGGCTCACAGTTCTGGTTCTGGGCAATCTGAGGCTCCAGTGCCAGCACCTGCTCAGTGTCTGCCAAGAGCCTTCTAGCTTCCTCCTTTCACAGTGGGAGGGGAGAGCAAAGGGCAGGGAGGGAGACAGAAAAGTTGCCAAACTCATCCTCTTATGGGGAACTCGCTCCTAGGATCACCAGCCCCCTCTCACAACAATAGCATCAATCCATTGCTGAGAGTAGTGTTCTTGTGATGCTATCAACCCCTAGTGGTCCTGTCTGCCCTACTGACTGTAGAGGGCACTGGGATGCCAGGATGTGAGCCTCGCAGACAACGGCACGTATGTTCCACAGACGTGGTAGGTAACGAGTGTGCTCTAAGTTCTCTGTCGGGATTGTAGACAAGAATCACAGTTCAGAGTGCTGCCTGGTGCCTCACGCACAGCAGTTCTTCCTGCCATGATCTCACTTAATACAAGATGGTGGGGTGTTAATTTGCAAGGAGTTGAGGTAAATGTTAATGTCTTTCATGCTTTAAAAACTTACTAAAGGAATTCATGTTGGCTGTTTTCTGCTTATACTATAATGAACCATAAAGAAGAGAAAACTAAGAAGTCTCTAGAACGAAGGGTTTCGGGCACCTTAAAAATTCTATGACCAATAACAGAAATTCTCTGATGAAACCCCTTCCAGTCTGGTCTGTCATTCAGACTGGGCGTATGTGGCCACGTTCATTCATTTACTAGCTTAGTTATTATTGCTATTTAATGTTTATTAAGTGTTCACTATGTGCAAGGTGAATATTTCTCAAACTTTTTATTTTTATAATCCCTCATGCCCTTCATCTTCCCTCCATCAAAGCCCGAGTCCTCAGTTCATTTCCTTTTTGGCATCTCCACAGATCTTAAAATCTGTTCAGCAGGGAATACTTACGGTGGGGTCAGGATGTGGAGGAAACTGTCACATTCCATTCCTATACCTCAGAACACACCCGCCACAAAGCCGCACTTTGAAGTGAAGCAGCCTGAATCACCACCCTCCCTCCAGAGCAGTCCTGCAACCATCCTGGGGGTCCGAGCCTCAGTGATGAGGCGCTCTCCAGACCCTTCGCGTGGCAAGATGCCTGTGCCATGGAGCTCTGCTTCCTCTGGCAAGCGAAGGCTAGAGAGGAATTCTTCTGTATTCTGCTTTCCTTGCAGAGACTCTCAGACAGATAAAGATTTAATGAAGAGAAAAGACACTAAAACCATTACTGGCTAGTATGCACCCCCTGCAGGGTGCTAGACTAGGTACTCCTCCTGTGGTGTTCTGGGTAACTGACCGTACAGCACCTTTTTAACTTTGTGTGTGTGTGTGTGTGTGTGTGGTGTGTATACATACCCATGCTTTCACACGTAGAAAGTAGAGCACAGGATGTCAGATGTCTTCCTCGACCATCCCCCTTCCTCCTTTCCGTTACTTTTAGAAACAGATGTGTTACTGAACCTGAAGCCTGGTATTTCAGCGAGCCTGGCTGGGTAGCAAGCTCTGTCTTTTCTAATGCCGACCCCCCCCCCACACACACACACATACACACATGATTCCCAATACTAGAGGTACAGGCTGGTGTCCTGTCTGACCTTTCTGAGGATGGCGGGAAATCAAACTCAGGTCCTCTTGTGAGCACAGCACACATTCTTACCCCCTGATTCATCTCCCCAGCCCAATGTCTTCTTTTTTAATTTCAAGAATAAGTTGCCGGGCGGTGGTGGCGCACGCCTTTAATCCCAGCACTTGGGAGGCAGAGGCAGGCGGATCTCTGTGAGTTCGAGACCAACCTGGTCTACAAGAGCTAGTTCCAGGACAGGCTCCAAAGCCACAGAGAAACCCTGTCTCGAAAAACCAAAAAAAAAAAAAAAAAAAAAAAAAAAACAAAAAAGAATAAGTCATAGGTTCACAGTAATGTGACCATAAGGTACAAAGAGCAGTGGTAAGCCCTGTGCCCACATTGACATAGGCCCCTGCCATTGTCATCACGCCCAGTAGAATAAGTTTCAGTAGACAGCTGAAGAGACGGCGTTGGCACATCAGTGCTGACGGCAGTAGCCACTCTGGGTGGTACGCCCTCTGTAGGGGGACAGGCGCCCACCATCTTAGCCTCTCCTTAGTTTCATGTCTGCCTCCTTTCCACATGAGAGGCTGCAGAGGTCACAGTCGCCAGCAGCTCACCTCAGGGAATGCCGCCTCTGTCAGCATGGTCGCTGCTGCTTGTTGGAAACGAGTCAAGCTTCTTTTTGACATAAATTCTCCCTCTTCAAAAAAAAAAAAAAAGGTACTTGAAGGAATCGCCTCAGCCAATGTGGACTAAAGTTCCTCATTCCGTCACAACATAATGGCAGACTGTGCCGTTGAGGACAGGGGGGGGGGGGGGGGGTCTTGTCTGTACAGCTGCCCCAGCTCCTGCTTCTCTATCAGCAGTGGGCTGATTGGAGCCCTCAGTGGTTTTGTTTCATTTTAGTAAAGGAATTTGCATCTCTGAAGCCCCTACTCTCACCATTTAACATTTTTCATTTTTCAGTGGGTTTGGTTTAGAAGTAGTTAATGTATTTCGTTGGTCCAAACAGCAGTTTCAATGGAATGTTTTTGCCGCTGGGGATATTTGACAATGTCTAGAGACAGTTTGGGATTTCACAATTGGGATGAGAGGGGGTAAAGGCTGGACCACACTGCTGTCATCTAATGGTCAAGGCCAAGGAGACTGCTTAGAATCCCATAATTTGTAGAATGGTACCCCCTCACCCTTGGAACAAGATTACATGGTCCCAACATGTCAAGAAGCCTGGTTGTTTTGTTTGTTTGATTGATTGATTTTCTTTTTGCTTGTTTTGCATTTTTGAGATTTTCAGGCATTGTCACCAGGCTTCATTCTTTCTCCAATCCTAGTCCCTTATTCACTTATGCATGCCAGGAATATTGTGACCTCTTAGACCCAGACTAGGTAACAGGAATGCAGTGACCCTTTGCCCCTGCAGAAAACTCCATCAGCGGTTAGAACCACAGGGAGATTCTGATCTCCACATTAGGTATGGGGGACATAAAGACAAGATAGTTGTAAAAGACCTCTGTCCTCCATGCGTGTGCATGCCAGCCGTGTTTCAGTCCCTGGGCTGCAGAGTGTGATTTATTGCGCTATAGCTCCCTGAGTATATCAGAAGGTGACCATTCAGGGACTGGGTAAAGGCACATGCCACCAAACATAACATCTGAGTTCACTCCCAGAAACAGAAGGAAAATAAGAAAACCAACTTCCACAGATTGTCCTCTGACCGCCACACATTACACACTATGACGCACGTGCGTGCACACACGGTATATTAATGTATGTAATTTTTTAAAGTTAGTTTTCCATGTAGGAAAGAGCACTAGTTCTAAGGCTAATACATTACATCCATTGTGTGGCATAGACGAATTGATGAGCACTGATTCATATTTCCAAACTCTGCCAAGGTGTTATGCATGATGTAATCCTTCCTGATAGGCTAACAAAGGCCTTTACGATGATGAGAACGTTCATTAGAAAGAAGATAGCCAGAAAAATGAAGAAACACACTCCCAGGTCATTAGCTTCAGTAGGGTAAACAAACACATCAGATGTTTCCTTCAGTGGTTTCAAGAACATCCCAACTAAATTGCTCCAGGGATCCTAGCCAGCCCACAGAGCCAGAGTTCCTTTCTCTGTCAGGAAGAGACCCTGGTAGAGATTAATGAGTATGTCTCCTTTGTTATGTAGATGCGCCGTGGATCGACGTCCCACTGACATAAACATCAACTTAACAATACTTTGCTCAGATTCCAATGGGAAAAACAGATCATCAGCCAGAATCCTACAGATCATAAAAGGGAAAGATTACGGTGAGTCAAGCTTATGGAGGCTGGTTTAAGGTGAAGACTGGTTTTAGTATATTAATTGGAGAAAAAGAGGGTTTGCATACTAAGCATTCAAGAAAGCATAAAAACAGTGGCCTCTGTCAGGCCAGTGAGTAAATTGCTCCATTTTCAAGGTTCAAGGACTCCTCCAAGCCCTGAGGGCTCCTCCACTTAATTGCCTTTTCCCTGGATTGCGTGGTTCCCTGTAGGTTCAAATCATTTAATAGTCTCAGAAGTCAGTGGCTTGCATTTTGCTCCTCTGAGACTCAGGATGAGGAATGTCTCTTTATTCCCTTTTTATGGGGGAACTTGTCTTTGTATCTTATATGCAGAGAAGTAAGTTTAAAGGTAAGAGATTACTGAATATTCTGAGCAATTAGGAAAATAATGTTTCTAATAAAAATAATTTCAAAATGGGTTTCTTTTAGAGAAAACAAAGTAATTGACTTGTAAAAACAAGTCATGGGAATAAAATGTTTGAACGTTATTTTTAATAACATGATCACTGGAGTATTTACAGAGAACTTAGGACATAAAGTTGGATAATGAAGTCCGAAACTCAGCTGTTTTCCACGCTGTAGTGAATACTCCTGAAGGCTGCGTGATTGTGAGCGTTATTATGACTTAGGGAGCACAGTAGATCTAGATTATTAAATTGATTGCTCCTTCTATTTACCCATTCAACAGAGCTGTTTATTTTAGCACTAGGAATGGGGCAGCTGTGTGAGTTCATGCCATATCTGCTTATTTTACTTTGTTTTTTTTCCCCTAGGTATTTTTCTCCCTCCCTCTCTCCCTTTCCCCTTCCCTCCCTCCCTTCCCTGTTCCCTCCCTCTCTCCCTCTCTTCCTCCCTCTGTGTGTGTGTGTGTGTGCACCTTAAAAAGTTAAATAATAACATTGTTTGGAAAAACATCTAACAAGACACTAACTGGTTCAATGGATTTTGGCTATACCACGAGATTTAACTAAACTCTACTAATTACATCAACATCCAGACAAAACAGTTAGAGGAATAACAATCTTATTTTTCATATTTTAAAACGCACCCAAAGTGCCCACAGCTCCCACTGTGAAGACGTTCACAGAACTACTGAAAAATAACAGGCACTGTGACAGCTGCCTTGAACTGAGGGGGACACCGGGGTACAGAAAGGTTAATTGTCAGACAGAATTGAACAGTAAAGGGTGGATGTCAGCAGCCTAAGCCCAGTGTCCATTACCTTCTGTCCCGCTCTGGGGCACCTAACACTTGTGTTTTCCGAGCTCTGTTTCAGCATAGGCGTGAGAGGAGAACAGGCTCACTGTTTAAAAGGACTGTGATGCCCCAGAAGCACCTCCACAAGGTGCCGCTGACTGTGGCTGATTTGACTGGTTTTCCATAAATGCATGAAAAGAGGTCCTCATGAATTTGTGTGAATTTGTCACATGCAAGGAGCATCCTGACTCTGGGTTTATCAACCTTAGAGCTCTATGACCAAAACTATCACAGGGCCACAAGTTAGGTACCACTCACTGAGAGACTGTTCCTACGAATACAGTAAATGAAGGCTTAGAAACCTTTATGTGCTGGGCTTTTATTTTTCATTCAAGTGCGAACTTTTAAAACTTTTTAAACATTTTATATAATTTCATAGGTCTGTTTGGTTTACCAAACATAAGCAGAACCATTTTTACAGATGCTTATTGTTCAAAACTCAAGTTTTCAAGTATTTTGGTTCTGTAGTAAATAACAATGATTTCAAAATACCTGGATTTGGCCGGTGGTGGTGGTACACACCTTTAATCCCAGCACTTGGGAGGCAGAGGCAGGCAGATCTCTGTGAGTTCAAGGACAGCCTGATCTACAGAGTGAGTTCCAGGACAGCCAGGACTGTTACATAGAGAAACCCTATCTCGAAAAACAAAAACACCTGGATTTGAGTAGTGTTGGAATCTTGGTGTCTCCTGGCTGATAACAATAGCAAGCTCCTGGTGGGCATTTTCAGTTCATTAAACTTATGGCTTGATACTATTTTAACAGAGTTTCATTATTTTTATAAGTATACCTGTAAAGAATTTTTGTCTTGCTTTTTGAAACACAATTTGGAATTAAATTATTGTAATTCTCGTTAATTGGTCTGTACCACTTTTACTTCTGAGAATGTTTCATTTGCTCTAATGCTATTTTTCTTTTCAGAAAGTGAGCCGTCACTTTTAGAATTCAAGCCATTCAGTAACGGTCCTTTGGTTGGTGGATTCATCTACAGAGGATGCCAGTCTGAAAGACTGTACGGAAGCTACGTGTTTGGAGATCGCAATGGGTATGTTTCCCAATGCCACAGTTTCTTGTATTGCTTGGCACACTACCAAAATATTTTCAAGCGGCTGTGGCCCGCAAGTCAGACCTTGGACACACACAAATGTTATGGCTTCCTGTGTTTCGTCGCATCTGGAAGCTGAATTGAGGAGATGCTTCAAAAAACATTCTTCAGTAGGCTCCATCGGTTTGATGGGATAACGTTTGAAGGCAAAGCAATCTTGTGAGGGACTTCCCACTTATTTTGACTGTTCCCTTTATCCTCAGCCTAATTCTAAAACGTGTTTTACGGGATTCGTGAAAGCTGTTTGAAAAATTACCCCGGAAGACTGAGAATTTTGGTAGTGCCAAGCTCTCAGGACCTTGTGCGTGTAATTCATCTACAGAAGTAGCTACTTCAAAATAAAAATGTAGCCTAAATTTTCAAGGTCTCCTGGTGGGTAATTATAAGGAATTGATGAAACCCGTGCTGTTGTCACTCTGCTTGGCTGTGTCTCCCCTGGGCTCCACCCATCCTTGTCATGCTGATTTCAGCAGCAGACCCTGAGGTTGAGACCTGCCTACCTGGGAAGAGTCCTCTCCAGATGGAGGAAGGGGAGGGACTTTCTCCTACCTGGGTCTCTCTCTCTCTCTCTCTCTCTCTCTCCCTCCCTCCCTCCCTCCCTCCCTCCCTTCCTTCCTTTCTTTCCCCCTAAAATAGGGTTTCTCTGTGAAACAGCTGTGGCTGTCCTAAAACCCACTTTGTAGACCACGCTGGCCTTGAACTCACAGAAATCTGCCTGCCTCTGCCCCCCAAGTAATGAGACTGAAGGTGTGCACCACCACTGCCCAGCTTCCTACTTGGATTTTTCATTGCCCTTTTCAAACCCCATCTTGCCTTGAAGTCCTGTATCCTCATCTGGTTTTCTTTTCACAGTGTTCCCATATAGGACAGAGTATATTTTTCCCTTGAGAAGTGATGTACAGTCTGGTTTGACAATTTCTTATTGCATTTCACTGTAGGTTTGTGGTGTGTTTTGTTCCAGGAATTTCTTAACTCTTCAGCAAAGTCCCGTGACCAAGCAATGGACAGAAAAGCCACTCTGTCTGGGCACCAGCGGGTCCTGTCGAGGCTACTTTTCAGGTCACGTCTTGGGATTTGGAGAAGATGAATTAGGTACTATATCTATTACCCCATGAAGTTCTAGTTTCACTCCTTGCCTGGAAAACTTTGTTCTGCCCTATAGAATAACGGTGTCTTCCTTCATTTGTTGGAAATGTGCCCACAGCAAAGGCGATCTCCACAGAATCCCAGGATGGTACAGTTAGACCTTCCTTCCCATCATCTTTCCCCAAGGATCTCTATAGCTGGTTTATAGTTTGGAAATATTAAAGTAATAAAGCAGAAAAAAACAAGAAAAACCCTTAAGTTCCAAAGGGAGGATGTCTCCATACCTACCGACACTTTTCACTGCACACTATGGCAGTCCTTTTATTTCCGACAGAAAAACCGTCCCACTTGTCCATGTCTCTTTAATATATTTTAGAAGGGTAGATTCTGAAGCTAATTTGCCCTCTGTATTGTTAACTTATTTATTTTGCCCATCTGAGAATAAAATTTGTGCAAGATAATCTGAGGGCTGGAGAGCCTTGCCCATAGAACGGAAATTATCTTACTGACCATGTATGCAACAGTATTTTTGGCATGCTTATCAATATATGGAGCTTATGTGTGTGTTGAAGACCTCATCACCATGTCCTGGTACCACTGGGAGGTGGTGGCACCTTTATCAGGTGAGCCTCAATGCCAAGAAATTGATGCTCTTAAAAAATGTTTTTTAGACTTATTTTATTATTCTATATTTATGCTATTTTTGCCTGCATGTATATATGCATATAATATACATGCTTGGTGTCTGAGGAGGTCAGAAGACGGTGTCAGATCCCTGCACTAGAGTTTATACATGGTCATGAGCTGCCATGTGGCTGCTGGAATTTGAACCCAGGTCCTCTGCAAGAGCCACACAGCTGCCTTAACCTCAGAGCCACCTCTCCCACACCCAAATTGGTGCTCAAGTCAGAACCTTGTTTCTCTCTATCCTTGCTCCCTGGCTGCTGTGAGGGCAAGGGGTATCCTTTGTCATGCACTCCTGCGGTGATATCTCCCAAGTCACAGAGTCAGGCTAACACATACTGCAATCCCTAAAACCAGGAGCTAAACTCAAACTTCCCTCCACTAAAAACAAAAAGAAAGAGAGAAACACGGAGCCTGATGAGCTGAAGGGAGTTGTAATTGGGGTATGATTAATGGGAAAGTGACATTGCCCGCTCTCCACTGCTTTAAATTACAGAGTTCAGTGTAGCTTGTGTGGGGTTTTACTAACTACCCCCTAAAAATCCATGAGGACTATGCTCCTTCCACTGAGAAATGAGTTTGAAGGCATAGAAAGAAAGAATGTTTCTTTCCTAAGTCAGAATATTCTCTCTATAATGAAAGTCCGGGTTGACTTTATTTGTACCTTAAATGGGGGAAATCAGAAGAAATAGTGGGAGTGCTTGAGAAGCATGGGGTATCTATCTAGTTTTGCTCCAAAGTGAAAGCATTTTTTCCCTAGACAGGGTTCCTCTGTGTAGTCTTGGCTGTCCTAGAACTCGCTCTGTAGACCAGGGTGGCCTCAAACTCACAGAGCTCCTCCTGCCTCTGCCTACAGAATGCAGGGATCAAAACTGCATTCCACCATCGTCCAACATTCAAAAGAAATGCATTTTATCTCTGAGTTTTTCTTTAATGTGCTTCTACCCCACTCAAGGGAGTCAGAGAGATACTCACCTCTTGTTCATAAGCTCTGTGGAATAATTTAGATGTTGTTGTCAGACATTATTAATTTTGAGACTGCCTAGGGCTGTGGGTAGGCATCGGGGGTAGAGTATTTGGCTAGAACACACACAAGGCTCTGAGTTTGCCCCTAGACTTGACAAGAAAGAGGTAGAAGGAGAGAAAGAAGATAGAGAAGGGAAAGAAAGGAAAGATGGGAGGAACGGAACAGGAAGGGAATGGGGGTGGAAATGAGGAAAGAACAAAGGGAGGGGCTTATCCAAGCAACCTCAAGAGAAGGCAAGAAAATTCGGCTTGACCTAACTTAAGCCATTTCGTTCTTGAAAAGAATCACTGGGTAAGAATAAACCTTCAGAACCAAGGGAGAGACAAGGATCCCAGGGAGGAGGTTGTTGGCTGTGGTTCAGGTGAGAAACAATGTCCTCCTGAACAAGAGTCGTCTAGGGATGGGGAAGAGGTGACTGGACTCAAGGTACAGTGCAGAGGAGGATGTGTGAGGTGCTGTCACACCTGGAGGCAGAGCATCTTCCTGGGGATGAGGGGAGACCCATGACATCTGCTTGGCTCTGATGTCGTGCTATGAATTTCTCTTTTCATCAGGAGAAGTATACATTCTATCAAGCAGTAAGAGTACGACCCAGACTCACAATGGAAAACTCTACAAGATCATAGACCCGAAAAGGTAATTTCTTTTTCCTTTTGAGTCCACTCAATATCCATTCTCCAGTTAGTTTAGTTCACTCAGCGGTGTTATAGAAGAGACAGCGTTTGTGATAGGCTGGAGCGAACATTCTACCCTTCCCACGACAGAGGACTGCACTTGACCTTGACGGATTTGAAAAGCTCATTCATATCATTCTTGTCCACAGAGAGCTGGCCTAGACTTGTGGAATCAACATTCCCGGTTAAAAGTCAGGGAGGACAGTGGCTTCAGCTCTCATGTTAGAAAAGCAACAAAACCTTTAATTTTGAGAAAACGAGACATGTTCTAGCAGACATCGTCCTTCTAGCACAATTCCTGTTAGATAAACAAGATAGTCTATTTTAACAGCTCAACAAATGAGCCTTGTTTCAAAACTCACAGTTCCTAGCATTCAGGAAGAGTGTTTGACGGGGCAAAGGAAAACTAAAGGAATATTTTGCTACTCACTTCAGCAAAAGGAAGGTTGGACGTTTTCATATTTTAAAGAGTATATTTTGATGGCTTAGTAGATAAAATGTTGCCTTGAAAGCACAAGGACAAGAGTTCAGATCCCCAGAACCCACGTCAGTGTGGAATGGGCAAGGTGGCTACACACTATCCAACATCCGGGGAGGAAGACCCAAGGCAGCCCCAGGGCAGATTGTCTGGCTCGCTCAGCCAAATGAGTGAGTTCCTGGTTCAGAGACCCAGTTCCGGTAAATGAAGCTGAAAATGATCAAGGAAGATACTCAGTGTTAGCATCTGGCCTCCTCACACACATATACACATGTGTGCATACACACATGTACCCACATACATGTGAACAAGCATACACAGATATATGCTTAAAATACGTGTGTGTACCTGCTGCTGTTCCCTCCCTAGCTACCCCTCTCAATGTTGGCACGCACAGTTCTCCCGATGTTACAATCATCGCGTATCAGTCACGTCTTTCAAACATGAGAGTTGAACTTTCAGAAACTGTTAAAATTACACGCAGCCACATGGATGTTGTCCATACAGACCCTAATCATTCTTATAGATACAATTAGTGGCAAACTAACTAGTACTCTTTACTCATCAACACTATGCTGCAAACTTCAAACTCCTTTGAAGTCTTTTTCAATGGAATCAATTTTAAGGATCAGAAAAGTTAGCCCACGGCATTCAGCTCTTACAATCGTTTGTAAACTGTCGATTTGTGTTTTCCTGGGAAAGTCGTGGACTAGTGACTGATCGGACTACCTTTTCTATAACCATAAAACATTCCCTTTCCTGAGAAAACTACAGGTTAGCACTGGCCACTGCACAGCAAGGAGACCAAGAGAAACGGGGAGCAGTCTCCATCCCCCGCTCACCGCTGAGAGCGTGACCTCACTCCTTCACAGCCAGAGGCATGCTTGCCATTCCGTCAGTAGTGGCAGCGGCTATTCCTCTTTATGTGTGAAATCGGTGTCTTCTTTGAGAAAAGAAATGAAAAGCTATCAGACACCCAGGAGAGTGCTGAAACTGGCAACATTGCAAAGACAAAGCAAGCCAGTGTGAAGCAGTAACACAGAGCGCTCGAGTGACCTGCAGCGCAGGCGTGGGATTTCACCCGGACCTGTGGCAATTAGTTTCCCAATGGTCACTGTTGCTCCATTATGCTGTCAGGATTGATCAGCTTCTGAAGCTTCCCCTAGTAGGGTAATGAATTCCCCCTACCTTGCCCGCACCCCCCTCCACACTCAAATCTCTCTTGAGCTGGATTGTTTAGTCTGTTGGTGAGTAGAGGTGAATTTTACACCTTTAATCTATTATTAGGATCTAATTATCAGGGTTGCCATGAGTGACCTTGGCTTTGTGATCCCAGGGCCCCCTCTAGTAGGGTGGTCTCAGAGTGACATTCCCAAAGGCCTGGCTTCTCATTATTGGCCTGTTTCTGGTGATTCATGTCATGTGTGGGGCCAGGGTTAAGATCTGTGTTTGCTTTGCCGAGATGGGGGAAGTAATAGAATCCCGAAGACCCATCCTCCTACACAGGCGGCAGCGTATTCTAACTGAAGCGGGTGGGAGAAGCTAATGTTTTCATCAGTGTTTGTTGGGAGCCTCTTACTGTTTTGATGTGAATGCCAGTGATTATTATTACAGTGTTTTCCCAAGAGGGACTGGTATATAAGCAGACACTCTGGACAGACAGGATTATTTGGGGCAACACAAGTTAATTGTTAGCATAGGCATGCTCAAGAGGTCAGGAAGAGTAGAAGTATTTTTCTAAAAGAAAGATATTTTTTCAAGGAAGAACATCACCAAATTTAAATATTCGTATGTATGCATATATAGTTATTCCTTGTTATTTCAAAAGTCTAACTCAGACTGAACAGTTAAGTTCACTATCTTCCTATAGAGACACCCCTAGACTTCTTACAATATTTTCAAAACAGCTTTCATATGCCAACTGATTTATGACCCTGGAAGAGAAAATTGCAATTTGTTATAATTTTATATAAGGTATCATGGAAGTTACATACTTATCATAGTATTTATACTATATTTTCTTACACACACGCACACACACACACACACACACACGAAGTTAGAAATAAAATGTAATAACTCTTAACCAAATTTGGCAAAACCTATGAGGTTCCAGGATTGTCCCTCCAGTTGGTGAGAACAGTTTGGTCTAGGCTGTAAACTGAAGAATCATTTTGTAAGTTTTAATTTATTTTCAGTGTAACAGCTCCTTAAAAGAAGGTGTTTTAGAAAAAGTAAAGGCCATTAAATTTTAATTAATTAACTTATATGTTAGTGTATAAAATAATGGGGCTTCTTGTACATTTTATACTCATATGTATTTGTATGTTGCTTCTCTCATTGCCTTTCTTCCGTCCCCTCTCCCCTCCAAGTGGTCATCATTTATAATGAAAATTTGGAAATAAAAAACAGCCAGTTTCCCTTAGTTATCTAGGGAAGAGCCTTCCCTGGGTAGACAGGACAAGAATGGATTTGTCAGGACTGGAAAGATGGCTCTGAGGTTAAGAGTACTTACTAGCTGCTCCTCCCGAGGTCATGGTTCAGTTCCCAGCACCCAGTTGGCATCTCACAACTGTCTGTAACTCCAGTCCCAGGGGATTCAATACCTTCCTTTTAGCCTCTGTGTGTACCAATCATAATGAGGTGCATAGATCTACATACAGACAAAATATCCATACACATAAAAATACTATTTTTACAAAAAGTCAGGCAGTGATGGTGCATGCCTTTAATTCCAGCACTCAGGAGGAAGAGGCAGGTGGATCTCTGGGAGTTTGAGGCCAGCCTGGCCTACAGAGCTGCTTCAAGGACAGCTAGGGCTAGACACAGAAACCCAGTTTCGAGAAACCAAAAAAATAAAAATGGATTTGTTTTATGCCAAAACACTAACCACTTCAAGGATATCTTCAAAGTTGGGAAGTTGCCTCCTATGTCAGAATGGAGTTTGGATCAAGTCAACAGCTCAGACAATTTTGGGTCCCCAAACTCTCTTGTACTCAGTTCAGTGTGCCCCATGATCTGCCCTTGGAGGCTCCATCAGCTGACATACCAGGGGGCAGGTTAGACGCACTGAGCATACAATTTGGGCAGTGGATCTCCTTGAAGCTGAACAGCACACGGATTGCTGTTGTGCTGTGTCCTGGGCCCATCAGAGACTTGCCCATGACCATTGCCTCTTGCCTCTCACGTCCATGGCTTCTGACGTGAGATGGATAGTGTATTTAAAGTGTATTCTAATCTCTAGTCTTGTCAGGCCTCATTCTTGGCATTCCATAATCATTTTCAGGTGATTTCTCAACTTTTAAGTTTCTCTCACTTCTAAAATTAGGATGCAGGTGTCCACAGAGCTTACCGAAGCTCCGAACAAATGCTCTCGGGGCGTCATTCCTTACGTGCTTGCTCTTTATGAACTCTTCTCAAACTTAACCAAATGTTGGGGTGGGGGGCAGTGAGGTGGCTCAGCAGGCAAAGATACTTGCAGCACAAGCCTGATACCTGAGTTCGAGTCCCATAATCTAAAGACAGAAGGAGAGAAGGCAGTCTACAAAATGGTTCTCGGAACTCCAAATAGGAACTGTGACATGAAACCCTGCACACTCAAATAATTGACTGCATGAATAAATAAATAAATAAAATGAAAAAGAATCAGGGTCAAACACTCTCTGGCAATGGTGGAAACTCAAAAGTCTGACACAGGTGACTTCGAAGTTTTACCACTGTAGAACACAGGACTCCAATTTTGTTTTAAATGAACTTAAACCAAAATGCCTTTGTTTTGACTTTGAGATGTTCCCAGGGCTAACTGTCCAGGAAGGTGGAAGGCCATACTCTTCCTGTTGCTCCCCTTCTCTGAGTCCACTCTTCCTGTATTTCAACACCTTGCTTAGCTCTTCTCCAACCAAGACACGGGGACTTTCCCTTTAAGAGATCTATAAATCAACAACACAAATTCCAAGCTTGAGAGGTCATCCTTCAGAAGGCTGTGTCCCCAAACTCCTCTGTGACCAGTATCAAAACCTATTTCTCTGCTGCCTCTCCATGCCCATGAGGTGCCACTTACTAACCCTGTTTTGATAGTTTTTTTCTTAATCACTTCATCCTACCTCATTATGCAGGATGCTGAAGTCTTGCTTAAAAAATCACAAGGGTACGCCAGTCCTATTCACCCTTTGCGCATGTCTGGGAGTTCACTGGCAGCTCTGTCATCCTAAAGAAACTTCTGCATCATAGAGCAGCTTTCGTCCAATAAGCCAGTGGAGTCCCAATTCATCAGTCAGTTTTATGCAAGTGGCCCCCTAAGCTGATAAATTACCACAGTGCCTGTTGACCCAGCTGCCAAGTCCTCTTGCGGCAGGTGGTGTTTTCGTGGCCACCCTGACAGTAATACAAACTGTTTAGCGGCTCCATTGACCTTGCAGCTATTAACTGGGATACAGGATCCACAGGGGACTAGTTCCCAAACAGGGCGGAATTTCTTAACACCA